TGTCTAAAGTGATATGCTCATCCACCTCCACCCTGCTGTATATTTTAGTGTATGTATGTATTCAATCTAAACATATTGCAAACTCACACAGGTAATGTAAGCATTGCTTTAATAGTCATATGGGTTCTAAAGTAAATAAAATGAAAATATTGCTTTATACTTACCCATGTGTCTATCATTTCTGGAGTTTCATCCGACTGGTACCACAACTGTGACTGCAACTGCTCTTGGGTCAAAGATACAAAACTTTCCAGTGACTTCATACACTGCTTGTCTGATTTCAACTCCCAAAATTTCGCCTTCCTTTCCAATGCCCACATAGTTGGTCTTTTTCAGAAATTTTTTCCTAGGGTTTGTATTTGTTTTTCTCGGGAGATATGTTTGGTGGAACTCAATCATTCACTGTGAAGTAGGAATTATATACTGATTTTAAAAATTATTACTAAATGTTTTATACAGTCTCACTCTAAAAGCATTTATAACTGTTGAATGTGATATTTAAAAATGACTCATTTTTGTTGCAACACAATTCTAAGATTGCTTAAGTACATGTGATAGAGGCAAATATTATAGAAAATGAAGTGTTTACCTAATACAGCTATCTCTTTAGTACTAGTTGATATTCAGGTGATTTTTTCAAAGGTGTACTATAAATAGCTTTATGATAAAGAAAATAAATTTGACACATTCTGACTTAGTTTCATGTCATAACTTTTAGCATTGTAAAAAATCCCACTCAACCAGTAGATTGACATTTAGAAAGAGCAACTATGTAGTAATATGCATTTACTATCTCTAATCCCCAGATAACTTTAAGAACAGTGAAAAAGAAATACTATTAAAGAAATTTCTATCTTTACCTAGTAGAGATATTACTATATTATATCCTAAAAATAAAACAAACTTAAACTTGAAAATATAAAATAGGATAAATGTATAAAATAGCAAACAAGAGAAAGTTGGTGAAGCATGCCAGATTATTAGACTAGAGAAAAAATCAACAACATAATACTCTTCATTCATAAAAATTATTCTAAAATCCCCACACTTATTCATCAAAAATATAGAGGTTTAGCACAAAGAGAAAATATTAGTGAAACATAGCTTAGAAGGCAAGAGAAAAATTATCATTACTTGAAATTTATATGATGATACCATATCTCCAAATGAAACCTTGGAATAGAAAATGAGATAAATCAATATAGAAGAGCAATCATTTGGTCTAAATGAAAAGTCATGCTCCACAGCAAAATAGGTCAATATACATTTTTAGCGTATATATTATAATCATATTTTCAGAAATGGTTTTGTCAAAGTAACTTCCCTGTTATAATAGCTATTGAGACTTTTCCAGCAGTTTTGTGCAGAAATGGCAGTGTAGATCAGTGAGAAAAGTATGGATCATTATAGGAATTCAGTTGTAAATGTTGGCTTTAAGGTAAAAAAAAATTAAAATGGATGCTTGTTTCTAATTATGAACTAAAGACAATGAAACATAATAAAAACAATACACATACAAAAACAATTATCATTTAGAAGAAAGTAGTTTTATCATCTCAGGGTTAAATAGGATTCCTTAAGAATGTTGAAAATTGAAGGTACAAATCTTAAGGCTAGTAAATTTAACTACCTGAAAAGTAAAACCACTGTTTCTATGTAAGTTTACATTGGTAATATAATATAATAGATAAATTGAAGAACATTCATTTGAATGGGTAAAATGTATGAGTTAAAATAAATAAACTTGGTTTATACCATCAGTAGAACTATGAAACATAATATTGAATAAACAATTATACTATATTTATATGAACATTTTGATGTTTATGCTATTTCAAATGTAAATCTAATGTAATTGCAAATGAGAAGGTTTCATTAACTTTAAGAGAAGGGTGCCTTTGGAAATGACGTCAATAAGACTAAGAAGCATTGATTACCTACTTCAAATGTGTTATTTGTTTAAAAAGAAGTGTGTTGGCAGATGCCTATATTCTCAGCTTCTATGGAGGCTGAATCAGGAGTATTGGAAATCTGTGGCCAGCCTAGGCAACTCAGCAAAATAAAAATTTTAAAAGCTGGGAATGTACCTCTGTGGCAGAGTGCTTGCCGTAGCATTCACAAGCCCTGGGGTTCAGTCCTCTGTATTGAAAAAATAACAGCAACAATAACAGCAGCAGCAACAAGAAAATCAGAAAGAATGATAACGGCAAACATATTAACAAGTCTACTGTTTGGGGGAGGTATGCTTAGGTATTTTTTTTTTTTTTTGCTTAAATTCTTTTATTGGTACATTTTAGGTATACAGTACATTTACATTTATCATTCGGTGCTTGTACCTGTACATGATGTATCTTGGTTCTTATTTTTTCCCCATTGCCTCTGCGCCTTTCACTTCCTCCAACCTTCCCTATTTACATAGACTTTGTTTCTATTTTTTTCTTTTCTCATAATTTTTCCTTAGGTATTTTTAAAAACTCCGCATTTTTTGTAATCTTACAATATTTAGTATTATAAATAAAGGAATAAAGCATAGGCTAAAATCTTATTTGATGCCAAAATAATTTGAATACCTCAAAACAAGTAATAGATGCATGTAAATTTATATCTATGCAAAGTATCTTCGAGTGTTAGTAAATAAAGTACAGCAAGATATTAAAAGTTTTATACTCCAAAAATCTGTTATACTTCAATGAAGGAAGGATTCTCCTAGAAATACAAGGTTGCTTCAATATTATGATATAAAAATATCATGATATGATATATGGTGTTAAATACATTGATAATGTCTTTAAAAGAAAAGGAAAAAGAACAGTTGACTAGTCATCATTATAAATTTTTAAAATAAGGAAGAAGAATAGAGAGAGAGGAGTGGAATGGAATACAAATAGAATTCAGGTGTGTTTTGCACATGTACCAACTCCACATAAAGAATATAATAATTTTCTATTGGAAATATTTATGAATAAAAAATCAATTTTTTAGAAAATTAAAATTAAGCCCTTGTTAGAATTTATCGAAGTATTCCTGTGTTAAAAATGTTTCATTACATTTGGAGCAGATATAAAAATATACTTTAAAAATTTAAAAGATATCAAGAATAATAAAACAAAAACCTCAAGGTGAATTTTCTAATATTAAAATGGTTTGTATCTGTACTTTTAATGTGATATGATTTATATAGCTCAAACTGAGAGCCATCATCATGCCTAATGGTAGAAAAATGGAACACTAGAAGCATTTTCATTAAAATCCAGAATTAGACAGTAATATCCCTCTCAACAGTTTTATTTAACATTGCTTTGTAGGAGTGAGGAAATTACGCAAGAACAAAGTTACAAATACTAGAAAAAGAAAAAAAAAAGAGAAGAGATTTTTTATTGATAGTTTATGTGACTATATTTTTAGAAACATCCCACAAAGGGAATAAAAATCTATCTGAAATAATAAGGAACATGCAGTAAGGTGGCAAATCTAAAATACTATTATATTCAAATTATTAACTTTTATATGCAAATCATGGCCAGTTTTAAAACATAATTCAAAAATCATTTTATTTACAGCAACCAAAAATAAGGGATATATAATTGTTAAAGAAAAAATTTAAATGTTATAAAAATTCTTTCAGCAATAAAATAATTTTGTCTTTGGAAACACTGATTCAATATTTAAGATACAATAATTGGCCCCTTCTAAGTTAATAGTTTATAATATTGAGTTTTTCTTACTAGCTGACAGAGCTGATAACTACAAATCATTGCATCTTCATCTTCGAGAACTACTTTTGAGTTTAAAAAGAAAACAATGCTCAAATTTTGATGTAATTTGCCCCAAATTTTATTCCTGACTTATACTATATGCATCAGAAATTCTGACTTTATTTATCTTAGTGTTTTCATTGCAGGTTGGGCTTTTTTTGTTTGTGCTCCTTCTTCTACCAACCTCTATAGCACAGGTACTTGCATTCAAATCTCAAGCACTCACTTGCACTTTTAACATAGGGGACAGATATTTCAGAGGTTGATAAAAATTAGGCAGGTAAGTGTACACTTTGATGTAGAAAATGCTAGCCAATCACTTTCCTGCGCTCATTCAGTCTTAAAGTTGGCATATTTTAAGATTTGCAAAGAGCTTTGGAAATGTGAAATTTTATCTGAAAATTTGGGTTTTTAAAGTTTGGGATCCAATTGAGAACCTAATCACTCCCTCTGTGGCAGGAGATTAGGGTGTGGCCAGCTGGCTAGACAGGTTGACGTGACCTGTCAATCACTGAGATTTAGGACACATGCCCAGGAAAACAGTTCCCAAGGGCTGCATCTGGGACCAATCAGAAAATGCTATCTTCAATTCTTCTGGAACAAGGTCAAGGTTTTTGACACAGTGACCTCAATATAATATCAGCCTGAGGAATGGTAGATACGAAAGACATTGGCCATCAACCTTATGGCCACTGTACTCTCTTTCAGTGGCCCACTCTGCAGAAAGTACTTCTTTTCCTACCTTAATTAAATGTAAAACCTCACAACTGTTTATACTTGTCTAAGTCTTTGTTCAGGACAACAGGAACCTAGAAAGAACCTATAGAAGGAGCCCACAACACCCCACACCTCAGTAATACCTCCAGTTCAGAAAAATCTGCCTGTTGGGAAGATTTGACCTGTGACTTGCCTTTTTATGACCTTGAGTTTTTCTAATTCTGCTTTCCCTGAAATTTGTCACACTAAAATCCAGGCACTAAAAATTGAGGTTGGTAGGGAACACTAAAAATAGGGTTGGTAGGGAAATGAGATTTCAGGGTATGAGGTACTATATTCATCTGTTTCATTGGATGACAGGCTAAGTCATTCTATGTTTCTCTAATTTTCTACCAATTCTAGACCTGAGTTCATCATTGTGTGTATATGTGTGTCTAGATTCAATCTCCTTAAGTCAATGAATAGGAATATAAGCTCCACCCAGACTGTTCATCAAATGTTCAGAAGGTCTAATTGTCTTTCAATCAGGTATTTTTGGTCACTGTCTGGAATTTTGAACTGTACATGATCCCCCTGGCGTTGTTGCTGCTGTTTTTCTACAATTTCATCAGACCTATGAAAGGGAAGGCCAGCATCACCCAGGATAGCCAGGTAAGCAAACACTTAAATAGTTCTAGCATTTGAGTAGGGAAAATGCATTATCAACCATAAACAACAACTACTGTACCACCAAATAGTGCCCTGACTCTATTTTGTTTGAGATGTGAATGTAGCCCTGCACACAAGCATTTTGCAACAGAGCTTTATTATTAGGAAAAATATGGAGTCTTCCTTTGCAATATCTTGTGTTCCTGAGTGTCAGCCTACACTGTGGACATGAGGGACCCCCTTTGCTTTTTGCCAATAATTTCCATGACAGTATTTGTCTGAGCACCTGATTTTCTGTGAAGTTCCAGAGAGAAACCACCTCAAACACTACAGAAAATGTGTGGTGGCTCCTGATCTCTTCCAGGGCATGCGGAAAATTCTGGAAAACTGGCTCAGGCTTTTCTACCATGGCAGCCCCACAAAGATCTCTGGTCTGAATCCCTGAGGGCTGCCAGCTCCCTGGGGCAATCAAGTGGTGGGTGAACATAGATGCTTCTCTTCTCGGGTGTCAACATGTGGAATTCTTTAAGTCCTTGTCCTGTGGAAGCATAAAAAGGTCCTATCTCACCTATCTTCTGCTCCTCCTCATTCAGCCCAGTCCAGAGGATGTTTTTCTGCTCTAAGTGAGCAGAAATTTGTATTTATAGATTAGCTTTATGATGAAATCTTGGCATTCTTGATGGTACAACCAGGTTTTTCAAGGCTTAAATGCTAACCATTGTCATGTATTTTTTCTTATACTCTTATTTAAAAATTCATCTCTGAAATAGTTGACATTTAGGAAGTATTTCTGATTTCATTTATGATGGAGAGAAGGTGAGAAAAACAGGTATTATGGCAGGAGAGAAAAACAGGCATTTTCAAAACTCTGTTTGATTTTGATTATTTAGTACAGTGGGAGTGGATTTATGTTCATAAGATAATAGAACCAACTGATAAATAAATGGGTTTAAAGTTTAGGCCCTTTTAAGGACTAGGCTTTATCAGGGTATAATTGAGGAGCATTTTTATGAAGAAACTTCTGTAATACAAAATGCTTTTGCCTAATATTTTTATAATGCTTCATCAGATTGTATTTTGTCCACTCTGAATATGGTATCTTTATAGAGTGTACATTTGTGCATGTAGATATACAGATGGTTATTTCTACATAAATATACTTATATGTCTATGAATATAAATGTATGTAAAGCCTTTTTAATTTATAAAACATACTTAAATCTATCACCTAATTTAACATTGATAACACAATGATAACAAGTAGGAGCTACCATTTTCATTTTATGCTTTATGAAACTAAGGTTCAGAGGAGTAATCATTTGAGTAAAGTTACAAAGTGAAACCATGTTGGCATTGTGTCTCGAGGTGGAGACTTTTAACTTTCCTAATTGTATTTTTTCCAATCATCTTTGTCACATTCCTGTTTATTTATTGTCTTTCATGAGCCACACTTGCTGCCAGTGGTGAATAGGTTAGTTTCCCAGGGGTCACTGGGTGTCACCCAAACAGCTATCTGGAGCCCATGAGAATTCTGGGAGGTAAGGCTATCCCAGCCCTAGGAAACTTTCTGAGTGACTGTCCAGTGGTTTTATGGAGTGTAGCAGAGAACACTGGATCCATCATGTTACTTCTTTTTAAGAGCATAATATTGACATATTTTTTAACTGTTGGAATAATAAACAACATTCAAGATCTTTGCAAGGTTGAATGTTCAAAATGGACCCTGGTTTACTAATATTGAGCTTTTTTTTCTTTTTTGAGCTACAGGACTCAATTATATACCAATTTGTGTGTGCTTTTAAACCATACAGTGTTAGGACTAAAAACTTGCCTATTTAGGATGACTGTTAAACTGATCTGAACCAGCCAGTTGGCAGCATAGGTGCTGATATTCTAGTGAGCTAAAGCCAGGCAACTGCAGGTCCCCATCAGAGCGCTGAGCTTCCTTTCTGTACCTGCCCCTCCTACCCTTAGAGCCCACAGAAAGCAAAGATCCCACACAGAAACCTGTAACTTATCCTTAAGATGGATTGTATTCAGATGAATGCATTTTCTACTGTCTAATGTTGCAGTAATGGCCCCAAAGGGAAAGAGCTGTCATTATAACCATGAGCCCAGCACAAATGGAGTACGGTATTCTCAGACTTAACGTAGCAGTTGGTTCATTTGTCAGAATGAGAAAAAAACTGTTTACAGAAAGCATAAGTTGGCAAGGCATTTTTGAGGCTGGATGCCTTCAGAGGGCACTTGCCTAATAGCTTTATTTATAGGTAACAGTTTTATGTAGACTATGCATGTTTTTTATAGTTTTGCAACAATGTCTCTGAACTTTAAAAGCATTTTCAAGAGGTTATGATTTTTTAAAAATACTCATACTTCAACTCTGTAGAAAAAAATTTAAAATACTTATGTGCTTCATTTGCATTGGGTAATTCCGGGTGATACTTTATTAACAAACAGTGGGGTTTCTTTGCAGGAGAGCACAGACATGGAGGAGGAGGAGGACGACGAGGATGATAAGGTAAGTGTGCTCTTCCACGAGCCCAAAGGGACACAGGTTGGTAGCAGACTGTGCTGTCCCGAGTTGCATCTATTTTTTAGTATTATAGAGTGAACAGTAATACTGTAACTTTTCAAAACCAATATCTTGTGTTTATTTAAAATGGAGTAGCTCCAATACCTATTTGTCTCTTTATGCAAACATGGTACTAGGAACCATCACCTTGCCTGTCTTGTAAAGATTTTTTTTAATCAATTGGCAGATGATAATTGAACATCTTTCTGGGGACCAGGGGGATGTTTGGGCCCTTCCTAAGATTTTAAAAACTGAGATAGAAAAGAGGGTAAAACATAAGGAATAACTGAAATGTTCTAAAGAGCAGACTGGTAGGAAGCCTTAGCTTGGACATAAGCCAAGATGAGCCTTCCCCTTTGTAGATAAAAGGGAGCCTGGGAAGTCGAAAGTAAATCAAGCAAAATTGCTGCTCCTTTAGGTTCATGTCTGCACTCTGTGGGGTGGTCACCCACTTCCGAGCCTGTCACTTTCCCAGCTGTTGCTGGCAGTGTTTTCAGCTATATGTCTGTGTACATCTGTCCCTTTTCTTCTCCTGGGAGAATCTCTCAAATCTGCTGCTTTTGTTGTCATTACACTTTCAGACAAACCTTCTGGAATTAAATGAATAAAGAGAGATGCCAAGTGAGCTGCCTGTAGCTTAATAGACTTCCAGTCCCCTAAAACTGATGGGTAGATGGGGCTGGTGATGGTTGCATACAGCAGGATTGTGGGAGAGCAAAGGGCAAAAGGGAGAACCTTATGGGAAGTATGCAATGTAAATGCCTATAGAGTAGAAATTAATTCGCAGGCACTGGCTCCATGACACAGAGAGCCTTACAATTAATTCGGTCGACCAGATGGTTTTGGCCATTTGAAGCAAAGGGGATAGATTACAAGTAAATCATATTTGTTGTGCTAAGATGATCATTAATAGTAAAATAATGAAGTATAATATTTTAAGAGGGACCACAGCCTTTTTAGAAGAGACATCATTCAGATGCACCTTTCTTCTTGATGCTGTTTCTGGGCACAATGCTTATTGAATATGAATGGTCATCACTGAGCTGGAATGCATGATGAGATGTTTCACGGAAGAAAATCACAAGCACACATGCAGTTGTTTTTTGTTTTTGTTTTTTTTGGTACCGGGGATTGAACTCAAAACCACTGAGCTAAATCCCCAGGCTACACACAGTTGTTTTAAACCCATATGAGGTACCGAATGTAAATCTGGGCATCTGTTCTTCCCAATGACCACCTCTAAAGTCAAGGTTATCATAACTTCCGACCTGGGTTCAACAATATGCAAGAATGGCTCAGAACCCCAAGGAAACATTGACTTGCGCTTACGAGTTTACTAGAAAGTAAGCTCGGGAAAAGCCATGTGGAAGAGATGCTCAGAAAAGGTTGAGGCAGGGGCAGGGAGCTTCCATGGCCCCTTGGTCTCAGCAACCTAATAGCCGTGTGAAACAGCAGTTTCCTTTCACAGTTGTCCTAATGGAGGCTTTGTTAAGCAGGGGCTGTTGACCACACCCTTGTCCAGCCCGAATCCCATTTCTGGAAGGTAGGGGGCTTAGGCACAGTGTGCATGCAAGTTTCAACCTTCTAATCAGATTCTCCTGACCCACAGCTCCCTGTCCTCAGGGCTTTCCCAAACCTCCCCAATAATATTAATTCAAGAGTGATAAAAAGGGGCTTGTTATGCATGGCAAAAGTTTCTCTTTTTACCTTTTCAGATCTTTGCCTATTTCAGGACCTGGGACAAAACCAAATATAGCAAAACTACTCCTACCACTCTTCTCACTTATAAAATTTCAAGAATTTCACAAGCTCTGGCCAGGAGCCAAGGACAAGGACCAAATATATGTTTCTTATTATATAACATTATCACACTAGGCAAAATTCTAAATTTTTACAAACCAAAGCTCAAGAATGAAGAAGATGCATTTTTGTCTGGCCAAGGCTCCTTAAAGGAGCCATCCATGAACAAGGACCCCATCCACCCTTTAGGGATAATCGTGAGAAGCTGTCTTTGCTTTATCTGATATAGGAGAGCACCCAACAGGGAGCTAATGGAGGAAAACATGGTATTCAGTACTTGGAAAGCAGCAAAATGAGGCCATCAGCTAGGTCAATGGCCGGCCAGGTCTTATCTTCCACTGAGCAGCTTGACGTTCTAGAGATAGAGGTACTTGGCCTGTGTCAAGTCTTCTAGGCAAGGCTGAGGGAGGGAAGTGGTGGAACAGGTGAGCCTCCAGGGCTGAGCCTGGGAGCCATTGCCTTTCACCCTACCAAGGGCCCAGATACCTGCCCTATGTGGAGAAAGTTGGCAATAGGACATTCCTCTCTCCCACCAGGGGAAGTCTACCCTTGAGACAGTTTGTCAAAGTATTTCAAAGGGGCCTTTTAAGAGCCAGAGCATAACCATGGGTGTTTTGTGCTTCAGTTTCCTATTTCCATGCAATCTTATAGAGGAATGAACCTGAAATAGAAGTGTGACTTCTGTTTACACCCTTCTGTTGGTAGGGGAGACTGGCAAGCTTTTTAGCTCACCCTCACGTTTTCATCTCCATGTGTATGGTGATTTCTCATTTCTCATCCATGTGTAGCAGCCTCCACCTCTGTGATGTGTTTGTCCCAACCTGGACACACAGTGATGGGGTGACTTCCCACCACAGTGACCTGTCTGAAAGATCTTCCCCTTGAGCTCATCTGGCTTTTGTTGCATGTTAGACATGACAGACCATGCTTCTGGGAACTGTAAAACACCCAGGCCAAGGGGAACTGTTTACAAATTATAAACACACAGCCATTTTGTGCAAAACCAGAAGAGGAGAGAAACCCCTTTCTAGCCAAACTATCCATCTTGACAGTGACACTCCTTAATTGCCAGCACCGCTTCCCACCAGATACCATCAGGGTTGACTGTGGAAGATGAAAGGCTGCCTGGGCCCCTTGCCTTCCCCCCAGGAGATGAGTGCACCTCGTCTTCTGCATGTCTCTGGCACACAGACCAGGGTATGCTCTGGGGTCTGTCCTATCTTTTTGTCTGGAATAGGGATTATAGCATGTGACATCACCATAGTCACTGTTCCTTCTCATTGTTAAAAGTACACAGTGGTACTGTGCATTGGAATCTAGATTGGACACCACCATTCTGCCTTCTTTTCTTTTGTGGTCTTTCAATGATAGCATAGGAGTTTCAGATAACTAGTTTTTTGGCTTTCAGGAAGCAAAGTATACAGGCAAAACTTTAAAGAGAGGAAGTCTTCCTTTCTTATCCTGATGGCCCATGTAAGAAATTGCTTGTTACAAGTGTAGTTTGCAAGGGACCCCAGAACAAACAGATAATGGCCAAGTTCAGCCAACAGCAATCAGTTGACATTTCCTATTTGTATTAGATTCCATATGTGACATCCTTCCATGTGGCCTTATTTGTACGGATGGATTACAATGAAAATTGCATTAATTTTCTGCACAGTAAAGGTCAGTAATTGAAGCATGAACCAAGAAACTATTGTGTAAAATGCTGTATCCCATACTTAGGAAAGGTCATGCAAGACAATAATATCTTGTTTTCATTGGTGATGGTATAAATACTTGCAGTAAAAGTTTCTTTATTTTTCCACCCAACACTTGCTTATATAGAATATTTCAGCATTTCCTATTAACATTAGGAAGAAGGAACCATAAGGACATGTAATAAAAGAAAAAAAGTCTTTGCTTTTTGCTATGAGTAAGAAACTAGTTTGATGCTGAATCGAGGGTTGGTTAGTTTATAACTCTGCAGCCAGAAATAGGACTTGAAATGATCTGCTCTTTTAGGGTCACCAAAGAGGTCACAATTTTCTGACAGTTTGTAGGAAAAAAGAAAATCATCCACTTATATCAGTTATGGATAAAAACATAAATGGATGTGTTTCTTCAGAAAACCAAGACACACCTAATACATTTTTGTTGACTGAGGAATGTTTTATAATGAAAAGATGCAAGTGAATATCAGATCTACTTCCAATTTTCACAATTTAGAATGCCATCATTGAAATTTAAGCATTTCCTGAGCCATCAGTTTCAGCATTTAAGATGATTTTTCAACCTCTACACTGAGGAGTGCCTCCTCATTACCCAGGCAGAGGACTCAGAGTGAGAAAAGCACAGGGGATGTGTGTGTGTGTGTAAAACTCTCTCTGAGTGAACCTGCGGAAGACGTTGGGTAAGGTGCTTAGGCCCTCAAAGACTCAGGCCCTGTGTATCCTTGCTTCAGAGAGGGAGGAAATCATGTGTTACCCTAACCCAGAAAGACTATTGTTTATGGAAGGTGACTTATAGCCTCCTAGTGAGAGTAACTTAGTATTCCTTTGGGCCACCATAAGAATTCCCCAAACACAATGAATTGGTTTGATCGGTGATTTTTGTTAATTAATGCATAAACCGTGTTACTTAAAGATGATAAGTGTGGTACTTTCCTTGAAATCAAAAGCTAGAATATATTTTTGAATACTTGATAATAGCTGTGCATATGTACAGGCATATACACCATTTGGGGTATGTACACCCCTTATACAGGGCATACTGCAGAAGACCTGCTTTTGGATGATTTTCAGGAGAATAAAGTAATTGTTCACTCTGATTTAGGTCTCTTTAATTTGATTTGATTTAATATAGTTTTTAACAATGAAGTACTTTAAATGCTAACATTTCTACCATATCATCTTACTTTTAAGATTTTAATAGTAAAATGGATCCTAGCCAATTCTTAATTATCAGTGTATGTATGTTTTAAAAGAGTACCTTTCTGAGTTCTTATACTCTTCTGACACATCAGTGTGCTCACACTTCTTTGTTAAAAATCAAACATCCATCCTTAAGAGGGTTTTCAATTTCATCCCCTTTAGAATAATCTAAATATGTATCAACTTGGTTTATTGAGTCATCATAGTATCCTACTTATTATCATACTGACCGAT